CGCAACCAAAAAGCGAAACGTTTCGGCAAGAAGCCGTCATCAGCGAACAGACAACATAAATTTTAAAAAAATAGCCCCCGTATTAACTGTTTTTCGGGTCGGATTCTTCAAAGTGCATCCACGAGCAGGAGTCCTACTTAATTGCAATGTGTCTTTGCAGTCCTGATCTAACCACTGTTTCCCTCTGTCGGTCGGATCCTATTTTATTGCCCTAGCCAGTGCAGCCGAATCTATATGAGATAAAAACGTGACCCAAGAGGAAGAGAAATCCCCAAGCTCCGACTGGAATGGGACTCGCTCGCGGGGCCGAGACGTCAGACATTAGTCTCGCCAGATGTCTCGGGAATTGATAGACACATAAGGACACAAGCATGCGACAAAACTCGGTTGTTGTCCTTTAATTCGTCACTCTCCAAAGGAAAGAGATTTGGATGATTATGGGGAAATGGAAGGACGAGTGTAACACAACTGGGTCCCGAGTGTTACAACGGTTGGATCATGAGTGTTACAACGGTTGGATCATGAGTGTTAGTGTTACATGGTTGAATCATGAGTGTTGCATGGTTGGATCATGAGTGTTACACAAATGGATCATGAGTGTTACATGGTTGGATCACGAGTGTTACACGGTTGGATAATGAGTGTTACATGGTTGGATCATGAGTGTTACACGGTTGGATCCTGAGTGTTACACGGTTGGACATGAGTGTTACACGGTTGGATCATGAGTGTTACATGGTTGGATAATGAGTGTTACATGGTTGGATCATGAGTGTTACATGGTTGGATCATGAGTGTTACAACAGTTAGATCATGAGTGTTAAACGGTTAGATCATGAGTGTTAACCGGTTAGATCATGAGTGTTAAACTGTTAGATCATGAGTGTTACATGGTTATATCATGAGTGTTACATGGTTGGATCATGAGTGTTACATGGTTAGATCATGAGTGTTACAACGGTTAGATCATGAGTGTTACAACGGTTAGATCATGAGTGTTACTCGGTTGGATCATGAGTGTTACATGGTTGGATCATGAGTGTTACATGGTTGGATCATGAGTGTTACATGGTTAGATCATGAATGTTGCATGGTTGGATCATGAGTGTTACATGGTTGGATCATGAGTGTTACAACGGTTAGATCATGAATGTTACATGGTTGAATCATGAGTGTTACATGGTTGGATCATGAGTGTTACAACGGTTAGATCATGAATGTTACATGGTTGAATCATGAGTGTTACATGGTTGGATCATGAGTGTTACAACGGTTAGATCATGGGTGTTACATGGTTGGATCATGAGTGTTACAACGGTTAGATCATGAGTGTTACATGGTTGGATCATCAGTGTTACACGGTTGGATCATGAGTGTTACATGGTTAGATCACGAGTGTTACACGGTTGGATCATGAGGGTTACATGGTTAGATCACGAGTGTTACACGGTTGGATAATGAGTGTTACATGGTTGGATTATGAGTGTTACAACGGTTAGATCATGAGTGTTACATGGTTGTATCATCAGTGTTACACGGTTGGATCATGAGTGTTACACGGTTGGATCATGAGTGTTACATGGTTGGACATTTATTTTCTGTATCGTCTGGCTTTAGTCTACTTATAACCGGAATAGATATAGAAACGGTCTTTTTTTTAATAAGGTCTGACACAAAGTAGGGGTCTGGCTGATTAGCCCCGAGTGCATACAGAGAAATGGAGGAAGAATTCTAACGACAGAAATTGGATGTTTAAATTTGTGGAACAAACCCAAAGTCACGTGATCAGGGCAGTGGACTTTTCGCCAGGGCGTGTTTGGCTTGCCGTGTTTGGTTGGCTGGGCAAACTGGAAATGTGTGTGTGGGTGGGGGGGGGGAGTGTAATTGTGTCGATCTCTAAGGAAGAAACGACTTAAAACTTACATGCAGACTAAAACTGTGATAAACACGAATTTATTATCCCCCCCCCCCACAAACTCCCAATAAAAATTAA